TCTGCATTTCAGGATAGCCAGTGGCAGCAGAAGAGGACAGAGTTGAAGAGTATCTGCCTCTGGCCAGACATGGTGTGCCAGGCCCTAACACCCCTGGCTTGGCTGCAGAAACCCCGGTGAAATCTGCTAGCCCCCTGCATGGCCAGGACTCTGTGGAGGAGGAGCAATTGCCTTGCCCATTTCACAGATGAGGATGCTGAGGCCCGCCCAGTCCTGCAGTAGGTGTGACCGGCTGGTGCCAGGCCTGTTCTGGGTGCCGGCAGTTCCATGGGTCAGAAACAAGCTGGAGTCATGTTCTCCAGTCAGGCTGTGTATCCAGGGGCAGCAGGTGGATGGGAGGCAGAAGGCTGGTGGGGGGCACTGCCCTGTGAGGGGCTGGACAAGGTCAGCCCCGGGGGTCCCCATGTTGTGCCAGCTTGGCAGGTTTCCCAGAGGAGGAGGTGCTGGCACCAGACCAGAAAGGACAGCCCCACTTGGACTCCTGGGGGAAAGCCTGGACCCTGATGTGGACGGGCAAGGGCTGTGCCAGGATCAGGGTCCTGGTTCAAACCGCACCTCGAGGCCATAGTTCATGCGCCCCCGGGGCCTGAGATGACCACAGCTCCTGGAGGTGGTGCTCAGGAGAGAGGTCCAGATCGAGGTCTCTCCTGAACTGGAGGAGACTCAGGCAAGTCCTCACTGACCGGAAAAAGGCACCCCTCCCTTCCCATAACGCTGCAACCGCGACTCTGCAAATCGGATGTGACAGGCCAATGTGTGCCAAGATGGTGGCCAGCTGCTCCGCGGCCACCGAGACCCTGCGCGGCCTCCTCGGAGAGCAGCAGGCCTGCCCCGTGCCCGGGACGCAGGTGTGCGCGGCGGTGGCCGCTGCCGGCTGAAGTCACCCACCCGCGGACACCCCGACTGTCGCACACACACAGCACGCAGAGGCCTCGCGCACACACGCGCGTCTGCGTCCCCCGAGGTAAGGAGACCGAGCACTGCCCCGACCCCTGGCCCCAGGGTCCTGGAGGGGCTGCCAACCTCAGTTGCGGGTCCCCTCAGCCACAAGGACAGCCCAGGCCATGACACGCCTGCCGGGCCAATCGAAGACCTGGAGGGCTGCTAGGAGACGGGCCTTCGCAGGCCGCCAAGCCGGGAACACCGGCTGCAGGTGGGGACGTGCAGACAGGCTTGACCCTGCGGTCGCAGGTTACACACACGGGGGCATCTGCACACCGTGGGCCACGGGGCTGAGTTCCTCAGCACAGTACAGGTCCGGTGCCCACGCCTGCTGTGTGCACCTGCAGGGCCTGGGTGCGCAGCTTGGGGACCTCTGAGGCAGGAAACTGTCCTTGGCCTACAGGCTGCTGCCTGCACCACTTCCAGAGCTGGAGAATGGGGGTGGGGGCGACCTGGCTCCTCCAGCTTCCTCTGGCTGCACCCGAACGGGAGACCCGGAGGAAGCTTCTAGTTCCCAGCAACTCACCCACTCAGCACCAGCCATTTGGCTATTTAGGGAGCGAATCAGTAGAGGGAAGCTCTTTTTCTTTTTGTCTTGCCTTTTCTCTTTCTTTCTTTCTTTTTTAAAAAAATATTTATTTATTTCTATTGCAAATATTCAGAGAGGAGGAGAGACACAGAGGAAGGTCCTCTGTTTGATGGTTCACTCCCCAAGCGAGCGCAACGGCTGGAGCTCAGCCAATCCGAAGCCAGGAGCTAGGAGCCTCTTCCGGGTCTCCCACGCGGGTGCAGGGTCCCAAGGCTTTGGGCCGTCCTCCACTGCTTTCCCGGGCCACAGGCAGGGAGCTGGATGGGAAGTGGGGCTGCTGGGATTAGAACCAGCGCACATATGGGATCCTGGCGTGTGCAAGGCGAGGACTTTAACCACTACCCTATTGCGCCAGGCCTCTGTCTCACCTTTTCTCTGTAACTTTGCCTTTCAAATAAAAATATGTAAACCCTACCAAAAAAAGTCCACTGCAGGGACTTCTCACCCAGAAAGTGGAGGAAGGGGCCATGGCCTGGGCTCGCCCCTACGAGATACTAGGGCTGCAGGTGATTGAAGGTGCTGTGTGTGCCCTCAGCACCCACCTGTGCATGCCCTGGGCATCCTATGCCATGCCCCTCTGCCCTCCTTCCCCTCTGGAATCAGTTGTAGGGGCAGGATGGGCCGGGTAGGGGCCTCATTTATTCCCTTGTTGGCGCCTCCCATCTGTCCCTTGGGATCAGGAGGATGGGGTGGTGCGGGGCCTGAACTGACACCCAGTGGCCTGGGCATGCCCGGAGAGGCCTGGGCATCCCGGAGAGGCCTGGGCACCCCGGAGAGGCCTGGGCATGCCCGGAGAGGCCTGGGCACCCCGGAGAGGCCTGGGCAGCCCGGAGGGGTCCCAGTCTCTGGTGGGGTGCACATCATGGTGACAGAATTCTCAGGGCTTGCGGGGCTCCTGGGCTTGCTAGGATGCTAGAGCCCACATGGACCACAGACGGAGGCTGTTGAGGCTGGGGGAGGCTGGCTTGGTTTCTCATCGACCCTGCCACTCCCAGGCTGCAGGTGGGTGCAGGTGGAGGTCTGCTTTGCTCTGCCTCAGTTTCCTCCTTTGTAAGATGGGGTTCAACTGGTGTGAGGGGGCAGGAGTGTTGGGAGACGGCTGGGTTAGGGGCAGGAGGGTGGTCGTGCCGGAGGGGCTGAGAGCACCACGTGGGTGATTCAGGGATTGGGGGGAAAGAACAATTCATTTCTTTCTTTTCTTTTTTTTTTTTTTTTTTGGTTAAGATTTATTTATTTTTATTTTTTGGTTAAGACTTATTTATTTATTTTTATTATTTATTTTATTTATTTATTTTTATTAGATTTACAGAGAGATGGGGAAAGAAGATCTTTTATTGGCTGAGTCACTCCTCAAATGGCTGTAATACCTGGAGCTGAGCTGATTCGAAGCTGGGAGCCAGGAGCTTCTTCTGAGTCTCTTGCGTGGGTACAGGGTCCCAAGACTTTGGGCCATCCTCCCTTGCTTTCCCAGGCCACGAGCAGGGAGCTGGAAGGGAAACAGAGCAGCCAGGACGCAAACTGGCACCCATAGGAATGCCAGTATTGCAGGCAGAGGATTAGCCTGTTATACTGCTGCGCCAGCTCCTAGAAGATGTTTTCGAGCCTAACACTAACATAATTATTTAAACCAGAAAACACGAGGGTGTTTAAAGTTTTTGGTAAGTGACTGGAAAGATCTGCTAGTTTCCCAACAAAACAGTCTTGAACTCTACACATGCAAGGGGCCTTTGAAAAGATCATGAAAACGCTTGCGATGAAAAAGCTGTGAGCGGATTTCCAAACTTGGTCTGTAGTGCAGTAAACGTAGTGTGGCCACATGAACTTTGGGAACAGCTTCTGCCCTAATGCAGCACACCCATTCCAGAGAGCACAGCCAGTCTTGTTGCTTCTTTCAACTGGAAAGGCAGATTTAGAGAGAAGACAGAGAAATCTTCTCCATCTGCTGGTTCACTCCCCAAATGGCTGTAAAGGTCGGAGCTAAGCTGATCCAAAGCCAGGAGCCAGGAGCTTGTTCTGGGTCTTCCATGCAGGTGCAGAGTCCCAAGGTATGGCCCTGTGGGGATTAGAGGTGGAATCTAGGCCACTAGACTTAGAGGACAGAAGTCAGTATCACACCGCTCACCTGGCAGCAGGGGTCAGGATGCCTGTGTTGGCCCTGCGCAAATGTGGTACCTGGGGTGCAGGGCATGGGTTTTCAGAGGGAGAACCACCCAGGGCCACGAAGTGGCCTTGCAGGTGCCTGCTGTCCTGGAGATGTTGCAGATGGAGGTCCTGGCTCTGAGTGGAGCGTCCTGCATTCCTGCTCAGGGAGATGGGTACCCTAGGAGGGCTCAGTTCCCAAGGAGAGAGGACCAGGGATGCCAATCATCTCCGGATGGCTGGTGGCCTCTGGGCAGCCGTGGGGAGGCAGTTGCCAGCGTGGGCCCGGATGGAGGCCACAGGGGTGTTAGGTGCTGTGCCAGGGCTTCAGGGCCAGCATGGCCAACAGGCTACAGGGCATATGTGGCTGAGGTACCAGGTGGCAGCTGGGCAGTGCAGAGACCCATGGTTGGCAGGGCTATCTATCTGTGAGTATGTCGGGCCAGTAGTATGGGCCCGAGTCCTCACCTGATATGGTACTAGTGACGGGCCTGGCCAGAGGCTGCCCATGGCTTGCGTGGGCTGGGGCACACAGCAGGCCTTGGAAGACATGAGGGGCTTCCCAGAGGCCAGCTGGGTCTAGCGCTCCGGGAGCCTGCAAGAGGCCATTTGGGCCACTCCCACTCTGCAAATCCCCAGAGGAGTGGGGACCCAAGCTGAGTGCTGTTCGGTTGGGTTGTGGTTTTCTTATCCCACTGGTCCCCAGTTTAACTTGGGACATGCGAGCTCCTGCTTTGCAGAGCTCAGCACTGGGCAGAGTGCAGGGAATGCCATGGCCTTGACTTCAAACTGTAGGACTGGTGGGGCTGGTGTCGTAGCGCAGTGGGTTAAGCTGTGGCTTGCAGGGCCAGCATCCCATATAGGGGGAGCACCAGTTCAAGTTCCAGCTGCCTTGTTTTGATACAGTTGCCTGTTCCTGTGCCTGGGACTCTGTACCCAACTTGGGAGCTGTGGGTGGTTCAGCCCCCGTTGCTGCAGCTTTCTGGGGAGTGAGTCAAGTCAGAGAGAGAAGGGGTCTCTCTATTGTCACTCTGCCATTCAAATACATAAATTCAAAAAAACCAAAAAACCAAAACTCCCCAACTCCCCAGGCCAGCGGCGGGAGGAATGGCAGTGAAGTGGCCAGTGTCCCCCTCACGTGTGTGTCTAATGGAAACTGGAGGTGATGCTGGCAACATCACCCTTGAGTGACAAGGGATCTCTGTCCTGCCTGGCACATCTCAGGGTCATCAGGTAGCAGGCCTCCACTGCCAGCTATGTGACACCTGGGGACTCACCGTCTCCAGCACCGAGTACCCCACACTTGGGGAACGCAAACCAATACGCGCAGGAGGGTTCTCGTCTGATTTTTATTTTAATATTGAATATGCCACGAGATTTAATGACCCAATTAGTCATTTACATTTTTCCAAAGGTATCTAAATATAAAATTGCTAAAAATTCAAATACAGATAACAAGCTACAAATCATATTTCCCTTGTTTCTGGGGCAGGTAGGACTGGAAGACGTTAGAAAAGGGGCTCCTGCTGGCTGCACGAGGACCAGGGTCAGACAGGACCTCGGGGCGGTGCTCATGAGACACTGGGCTCCAAGATGTGTTCCAGACACAACTCCCCTTGGACGGCAGGTTACAAAATCTTTGAAACGCAGGTCCTTGGGGCCCGGCAGGGCACAGGAGGGCAGCATGGGCCCAGGGGAGGAGCCCTGGCGAGGCCGGCGAGGGTGGCAGAGGCATCTGGTGTGGCCAGAGATGTGGCGTCGGGGGCGCCCGGCCCCTCGTCTTCCCTCCGCGGGAGTGGGACAGCAGAGCTGCTTTGCTTGTCCAGGCTGCTGCGGTGACGGGGGCAGGCACTGTGGAGGGCAAGGAGGCCCCCGAGGTCAGCGAGGTGGCTCCCAGGCCTGGGCTGGCCTTCCACTTGGCAAGCGCTTACACCTGCTGTGTGAGCAGCGCCTGGAGCACGAGGTGGCGAGGTGGCGAGATGAGCCGAGAGCCTAGCTTTCTCAGCGTTGCTTGCTGCCATCGGGGGCTGGGCGGGCAGAGGCTGGGCACACAGCAGGGGCACACATGCCAGAGCCCCATCCCTAACTTTGAGTCTGACGATCCTCATAGCAAATGCGCTCATTTAAACAAATGACATAGTTAAAAGTATTGACTAAGCCCTAAACATTTCTTCTGAGAAATCGAACCATAGCTTTTCCAATCTGCCTGTTCAATATGGGAACAGATTTTCAAGAGAATAACATAATCAATCCTCTGTCCCAAAGAACAGCCCGTCACGCCAACCGGGATAAGGAGTATGCCTGTTTATTAAAAGAAAAAAATGTACATTTTTGTTCTTCATTTGCTTTAAGAAATTTGATCAAGTTGACGGAAATGTCCGGGTGTGGCTATATACATCCTCGACAGGGCGGCCGGGCAGTGGAGCCTGTCGGCGGAGCCTGTCGGTGGAGCCTGTCGGAGCCGTGGCCGCACGGCTTGGTCCAGGCCAGTGTCCTCGGTGGTCTGCGTTGCCCCCAGCCCTGTGCCCGCAAGGACAGCGGGCCACCTGGCCCCGGCATGCAGGCTCGAGCAGCAGCAGCTTGAGGCCGGGTCACTGCTGCCCCTGCCCTGATTTCTTCTCCTTCTGGAAGCTGAAGCTCGTACGTCTGTTCAGTTTTCTTTGTTTTTGAGCAAAATAGTCAGCCCGGGCAGTGCTTGCTCGCGATTCCAGGATGTAGTTCACCTAGGGAGCGAGAGGGTGGAACCATCACCTGCCAGCCTGCGCAGGGCAGAGGCAGGGCTGGGGCAGAGGAGCACCCACCCTGGGCTGGGTGCCCTGGGGCCAGGTGCTCACTCGGCTGGCTGGGCCCAGAGCCTCGGCCTGTGGCTGAGGGGCAAGTGGCCCGTCCAGGCCTCTCCTCACTGTCGGAAGGTGGTGTCCCTCTGATTCTTGCACCTCTTTCCCCTCCTTGGCACAAACTGCCTCCCAGAGGGCTGCGGGCAGAACTGTCTGGCGCTGCTTCCCGGCCGCCGGAAACGGGCCTGACCTCCTTCCTCAGCTGAAAGTGTCACAGGGAAGACTAAGCAACCACACAGGCTCTGCACGCCCTACTGCAGCTGCCCTGCTGTGCCTGGACCCTGTTACTGCCTTTCTTTCCGGCAGATCCAGAGAAAGTTCCTGGCTCCGAGCCTGGATATGGGCCAGCCCTGGTTATTGCTGACTTTTGGGGGAGTAAACCAGCGGATGCAAAGGTGTTTGTCTCCCTAATTCTGCCTTTCAAATAAAAACAAAAAACAAAACACCGCATGTCAGGTGCATGTCATGTGCCACGAGGGACTGGGGCGAGTGACCATCAGAGAGGTGTGTGGGGCAGGGGAGGCTTGCACAGGTGATGGAGGTGTGGGACCTGCAGGGCCTGTGGGTGTGCCAGGGAGAGGGACCATAGAGCAGAGCACACCGGGGCGTGGGGGCGTGGGGGCGTGGGGGAGGCCCGGAGCTGCAAAAGCTCTGTGCACAGCGGGGAGCCAGGGCAGGGAACACCTCGCGCAGCCGTGGGTCACTGTTACCCTAACTGTACGGGCGGGACAAGCAGGGCACAGATGGCCTTGTCCTTGAGTTAAGGTGACAAGACCGACAGCCTGGACGTGCCCCTGCCCTGCATGCAAGCACTGCCCTGGCTGCGCTGCCTGGGCCTGGCCCCTTTCCCTCCAGGGGCCTGCCGTCATGGCTGGCGGCCTCACACCACGGGCTCTCGTGTGCGTCCTGGGTCCAGCTGAGGACTCTGCTGCCTCTGGGAAGGACCGGAGGCTCGGGTTCCATCCCTCCCGACTTTCTGCTCTGTCAGTCAGCGGCAGCAGGCGTTAAGGCTGCTGGGGAGCACAGAAGGCCTGCCACGCTCGGCCCGCCACCTCGCCAACTCACCAGCTGAGAGCAATAAATCATGTGGGCCGCAGGGCCCGGCTGACTATCTGGGACGGTGCAGGCAGTATGTGGGGATGGGGGTTTTATCATTCTTAATAAAGGCAATCCTGGATGACACTGTTTGCACACTCAGCCAGCCTAGTGTATTTTTGGCACATGTAACTCGACAAAAGCTTTTCAAAATGATCTCTAACAAGCCAACTACTTCCTAAATTTATTATCTTCAGTGCTTTGTGATAATCACACAGATAATTTTAATGGAAGATTAATGTAATAATCAAAAGATAAAAACGCCCTTTGGTCTGCCATTAGCTGGTTAATGTGCTGTGGCTTCAAACTTGCACAATTTTATGCACTATTGAGTGTTTCACTTTCGATGCATTTTACAGCTTAAGGCATAAAAATATAGGGAGTTTTCATGGTCAATAAAGCCACAGCCTCCATCACTCGATCACGAGAACATGATCTGAAGAGCTCGATGACTCCTGGGAGATTCATCTAGAAGCCTGCAGAATTAGGGACCCCATGTGACCAAGAAAAAGTGCCTCTCAGTGGGAAGGGACCCCTGGGACCTCCTCAGGTTCAGGTGGGCTCCGCCAGTGTGTGCTGTGCCTCGGTCCTCCAGCTCCGCATCCGTAAAATGGGGACAATGCGCTGGGTGGCCGGGAGGACCAAGCGAATGTCTGCTACGCGGCCAGTGCCTTGCACACACAACCTTCACCTTCTCTACAGGGAAAACTGTGGCCAACGGAGCCACTGTGGCCGCAGCTGCCCATCCACTGCTTCATCATCAGTCCTTGGCCCTCACTGCCTCCCACCAGGTTCTGGCTGTAGCTCTGTGTGAGTTCTGCCTCAGTCACCATCTATGACCCTGACGGCCACTTCCTGGCACATTCCTGGACACTGTGCAGGCTGGTGCACAGCTCACGGGGACATTGGTGATGTATTTAAGCTGCTGTGAAAGGCAGGGATGGCACAGGTGAGGCGGCATCTTCGGTGGGATTAGCACTCGCTCCCCAGGGCAGCAGGGCCCGGGCAGGCGGAGCTCTGGGGGAGTGTGCAGGACTGCAGGACGGTCCTCCTCCCAGTGTCTCCCTACGAAGACAGACCCTCAGGGCAGCGACAGCCTGGGGGATGCCGCAGAGGCGCAGCTGCTGCAGGGGAGTGCTTGGCCCTGCAAGATGATTTCTTTGCACTTGATCTTCCACAGGCTCATCCTCAAGTCATAAACCTGTGTTTCTGTCATCAATCTGCTGTTGTGAGAATTATTTTGATGTCAGACACAGGATTATAATTTTACTAGAATCCTTCTGAAGTCTTGAATATTTTAATGCTAGCTATAAAAAAAAGCAGCCCAGCCCCTGACGGGGTAATGGAATATTTCTTTACCTAGTTCCTCAACACTCTGCATAAACTCCTTCTGCTGTCTTGTGTTGGTCTGGAAAATAATTCTTGACTTGTTGCTGGCGAGCACTCCTGGGCAGGCACCTGCCCCCACTTCTAGTCCCAGGGGGCCCCGGCCAGGGTGGAGGGTCCTGGCATCCTCCACCTTCTAACTGACCAACCATGCTGGGCTGTCCCAGCAGCCTTCCCTTCTCCGTTCTCCTGGGCAGCAGTTGGATCGTTTGAAATCTCCTGCTCACCCTGAAGGCTAACGCACGTCTTGGGGGGTGGTGTTGGGGTGGTGTGTAGTCTTGGGGGTGGTGTTGGGGTGGTGTGTGGTCTTGGGGGTGGTGTTAGGGTGGTGTGTAGTCTTGGGGGTGGTGTTGGGGTGGTGTGTAGTCTTGGGGGTGGTGTTGGGGTGGTGTGTAGTATTGGGGGGTGGTGTTGGGGTGGTGTGTAGTCTTGGGGGTCGTGTTGGGGTGGTGTGTAGTATTGGGGGGTGGTGTTGGGGTGGTGTGTAGTCTTGGGGGTCGTGTTGGGGTGGTGTGTGGTCTTGGGGGTGGTGTTTTGGGCAAGTGCCAGGTCTGCTGACTCAGCAGAGCTGTGAAGCTGGCCTGGGGTTCCTTCCTGTACTCTTCCAGCAGCGGGGAGCTGGGAGAGACTCCTCTCCCCACCTTTTAGTTGAGAAGATTTGGTGAGGAAGGGGCCAGCCCGCCCTGAGCCTGGTTTGAGTCCTGCACGGTCCCCAGGGTGTTCTAGCTGTTCCGTTGCTCTGACCTGATGACCACCCTAGGGAGAACGAACAGGGCTCGGGGACCTGGGACCTTCTGGATCTGCACTTCAGCGGCCATGTGGTGGAGTAGGCTGCGGGATGCACCATGCTCCCACTTCACAAGTGAGGAGCAAGGGGCCGGACAGGGCAGCTGTCTTCTCTGTGGTGCCAAGGGCAGGTTCTTGGCGGGGAGGAGTGTGGAACCCCTGGCACAGGGCCGCACAGAGCAGCACGGGGCACCTCTGGGTGTGGAGCCCCGGCTGAACTCTACAAAGCCCAGCCCGGACACTCACCTTGAGCACGATTTCATTGACAGTAGCAGCGTCAGATTCAAAGTAGAGGTGCTTGTAGTCATGATTGCTTAGGTATGTGAGTTTAAATATTGCATGACCTGGAGAGAGAGAAAGGGAGAGAAGGCAGTTTATAGGGGTATGTGGGTTCCCCGGCTTGGGGGCACTGCTGTCTCATCATTCCAGTCCACACGAGAGCAAGTGGGGTGGAGGAGTGACCACCCTTTCCAGGAGTGCAAAGCACATGGCAAAAGCCGGAGACCCAGTGGCTGCTCAGGCCCCGTCCCGCCCTGGGGCACAGTCAGCATGGCTTTCCTGGACTGCTTCACGCCGTGGGCTCACACAAGAAGGGAGAGGTCAACGACCGCCAAATTATTACGAGAATAAAGAACAGTGCTTCAAGCTAAAAAAAAAAAAAAAAAAGAAAAAATGTAGCCTGGCTCCTATGGGGAGGGACAGTCCTGGCCCGGTGACCCCTATGGAAGTAAGCTGCTCCCCAATCCTCTAAGCCGGAGAAATGAGGTGGGACACGTGCTGTGGGGGACCACGGGCAGCTGGCAGCACACCAAGGCTGGCCTCAGACCCCACATCTGTGTGCCACGTCCGTGTCTGGGCCTGAGTCCTGGCTCCCACCACACACGTGGGAAAGCCGGACTGAATTCCCAGCTTGGGCTGGGTTTAGTCCTACCCCTTGTGGGTGTGTGGGTGGTGACCATGGCAGGTGCCAAGAACCTGCCCTTGACACCACAGGGCTCTGCTTCTCAGTTTAAAAAAAATTTGATCCAGGCCTGGACTGTTCACTTCCTAACCCTTCAGCATACCTGCGCCTTTCAGGTGCTCCTCCCTTCACGTGCTGGGCCCCACCCACCCACCTGGCAGACCCTCACCGACTGGCTTCCAGGGCCGCTTCCAGCAGGGGCTCTTCTGACCTACGCCTGCAACTCCTCGGCTGTGGGCCTGCCACCCTGTACGTGGCCCATCACACACACACACACACACACACACTGCTGTGCCATCAGCAATGGCACCTGGAGGCCAGACCGTCTGAATGGGCACAAGAATGGGGGATGACATGAGGGGCCTCAGACATGGTGGCCCACCCAGCACACACTGTCCCTGGGCTCTGGGACGCCCCTGTGGCCTTCCAAGAAATTATATTTCTCCTCTGCCATCCTGACATGGATTTCATGATGCCAACCAAAGGATCACAGCTCGAGAGACTAGCGGTTGGTGCCCAGTGGGCGGCCAGTGGTGTTCCCACAGACGGCCTGCAAAGCCTCTTCTAGCAACTTCCCTGGGGTTGTCTCCCAGACAGGTCCCAGTGCCTGCAAGATCAGAATTTTGCAAGTCCTTTGAGAATTTGTCATTGCTGTCCTTTTAATTGGTGCAGTAACTGGTCATAGTTATTAATTAGTAACATATCACCCCCATTACTGTAAGTTCACCTCTTTCCCGGAGAAATCTTCTTTGGGACTTTATTTACAGTAGCTAATTTTTCAGATCTCCAGAAATAAACTGATATATGTGGTACATTTGTGGCCAGAAAAGTTGAGCTGCTGGTATTTTATCCTGGAAACATCATTATGATATACTAATTGTGACTATAAATCCTATATTGAAAAAATTAGCTAATAATTTCTGAAAAAGCTCACTTTCAGTCCTTGATAAATTCAGCCCGATTCTAAATAGTGGCATGAAGTTGCTGAGATTCCTGACTGGAAGCTAATCAGTGTTAACACAGAGCTCACTGGTCACGGGTGTTGGAAGTGAGGCCTACCCAGACAGGAGTGTGTGTGCGCACGTGCGTGTGGTCAGCCCGGGAGGGATTCTGCCCGGCAAGGTCACCATGGAACAAAGCTGGGCCCAAGCAGAGCCACCGATGAAGGACACAGGACAGTCAAGGACACAAATGTCCCCTCAGGGAGGCCTTCCTGTGGACACCTGGCCACGACAGGCACAGACCTGAAGGCCTGGGGCTAGAAAGTACCAGAAGGTCTTGGGGAGGTTTGCAGACCTGCAGTTTCGGGGTTCACTGAGCACTCTGCGAGGCAGGCCTGTAGACTGTCTACACCACCTGCTCTTGGTCATCACTGACAAGACACAACCTCAGGACACGCGGCCGAGTCTCGCCTGAGTGACTGAGGTGCCCTTAGCAAACCTTCCAGACTGCAGGCAGAGCCTGGTCTGTGTTGGCACGCGTGGCACGCAGTTCCCGGAACCTCAAAAAGGAACCTTCAACTCCATTCCTGTGGAGTTGTGCGCGTGTTGGGTGTTGTAGGAATCACATACAGGAGCTGCCCTTGGGGCCAAGGGTCCTGGCAGGCCGCAGCCCTGGCCAGGTGACCTCAGGACCCCACCCTCGGTATTCTGTGCTTTGGCACTGGGTTGGACCCCTGCTGCTGCCAGTGCTCATGTGTGCCCACGTGAGGAAGAGTGAGGCAGCTGGCAAGGAGGAGGGTCTCTTATGCTCCATCCCCTTAAGCCACTGACTTTTTGGTCCTTTCTAGTACAGGGCTCACAGCAGTGATACTGCCTCCATGGGGGGGTGTGGATTTGAATACTCAGCGTCCCCCCATGTGAACAAGCAGAGTCCCCTCCTGTCCTTGGGGATGAATGACAAGCAAGAGTCCTGGGGTCTCCTTGGGTCAAGCCCAGTATTGTGCAGACTGCAGGCCATGGGCCACTCACTCCAAAGGTTTCCTGCCCCGAGTTCCCCCACTCCAGGACTCTGCGGGGTCGCCATCAGGGCAATTTCATTGAGACCAGGCTCTGGCAGAGGCACAGTGCAGAGAGAAGACCCCAGGGGTGTCGGTAATCAAGCAGGAAGACGGAGTCCAGGGGCTGTCTGGAGATAGGGGCCGGAGGCAGGTTGTCAGGCATGGGCAAGCGCCCTAGAGGGTATGTGGAGCTGACAACTGGGCAGCCTTGGTGGGAGCTTTGAGCAGTGAAATATGGGGGAAGGGGTGTCCCTGGACCCCTGGTCAGCCATATAAGAGGATGTGTGGCACAGGAAGGATGCTGAAGGGGCTGATCTGAGAATCGGGGAGCAGGACTTGGGCACTCCTTTACAGCACAGTGACAGCTAAGGATCAGAATTCACACTCAGAATTACGTGCAGTCCAAAGCCTATATATTCAGGCATAACAAGTTAATTGACCTCTTCTGGAAACACATCTGTCAATAGATGAAATTCATGTTCCGTGGCCAATTTTCAACGGAGGAGTCTGCGAAGAGCCCACAGCTCAACGCTGACGGAAGCGAGTAAGAGCAGTGCCCAGTTACAGCGCAGGCAGAGCAGGAAGAGGGGCTCATGACCCCTGGCTGGCAGCCCACCTGGGCACTGCTCTGGGGGCACTGTAGGCTCTCCTGGAAGATTCACAGGAAATGGGTAAGTGACAAGAGAAAATGGGCTTTGTAAAGATGTTGGCTGAGAGAAAGAACCCTCCTCAGTGGACCTGGGAGAAAACACTGAGCCCAACATTCCAATCAAACTCGATTCTGGGACTGTTCGATTCTGTTTGGTGATCAAAGCCTGAGACATGAGCCTGTGCTAGGCCCAGGATGAAGCCCAGCTCAGCCTCGTTTCACTCTGGGTCCCTGCAAGACACTGTCTCTCCAGAGCCCAGGGCTGCCAGCACGTCTTTGACCTCCTGACTCTCCGTCCATCTGGCACGGAGCAGGGCTCACGGCGTGCCTGATTCTCACAGTTGTGTGGGAAGAGATCTTTGACAATAAGAATGTCCATGAGCTAGAACGTGTGGTTTTGAACTGGCCCTCTCTGAGCAGCCTGGATCCTGCTGTTGGGCTGCAAGAATGCCATGGAACACAACGGGGCGTCACGGTGGCATGTGAAGGGTGGCTGTACGTGAAGCCAACACTGCAGATCCGCAGCCGCCTCTCCACACGGGAGTGGGGATCTGGATGTGTAAAGCTGTATTTACAGTTATGTCTGTCTCTTCAAAGAAAAGCAGAGGAGATGGAACACAACTGAGCAGAAACTAATTAGCAGCACAAATGTCAGAAGTGGGATGTTCCGGCTTTTGTGCTGTAATTTCCCTCCCACATTCGGTGTTGTAACTACAAGAGGCTGCACTGAGAAACCAGGCTCTTCCGGCCTGCTCGGGGAGGGGTGGGCAGTGGCCCTTCTGGAAAGGCAGCTCTCATCAAAGACTGTGGCTCTGCGGGTCCTCAGGGCTGGCCACGCCGGCCAGCAAGGGGCTTCCAAACCAAGTCTGTGGTTCCTCTCTCAAATTTTTGGGGTGTGCCCCACTTGCCCAGAAAACTCTCAGGTAACCCTGCGCTCCTCTGAACTCCTTTTCAATAAAGATGTTAAAATTATTGAAAATTTACAAGCCTAGGCAAACTTCCACGTCGCACCTCCCTCTCAGTGCCACCTCCAGTCTGCCACTCGCATCCACTAGCCTTCACACAGCGGACGTCAAACTGCATGCTAAGACGTGAGCTGAACTGCTTTTCAAGCTCATGTTTCCTCACAGCCTCCACCCGTCTTGACAGTGCCCACAGCCATCTCTCCCAACAACCTATAGACTTGTGCCTCCTGAACTGGGCACCAGGGCCACCTATTAAAACTCTCAGTACTTGAGGGGCAGCGGACAAGGACCTTTAAGGACCTGGGTTCCCTTGTCACTATGTGAGGCAGGGAGAGTTGTCATGATTGGATTTCCAGGGCTTGCTGCCTTTCGCTCTCAGGCCTGGAAGGGGCGCTCACTCACTCTGCAGGGCCCTGGCGTCTCTGGATTCCTCCCCACCGTCAGCTGCACTGTGAGCTGCCTGCAGGGAGCTCCCATTCAAGCCAAGGGACAGAAGGTGGTGCACCTCCCCAGAGACCTGGGCACTGGAATGACCTCCTAACCTCTGGAGCTGGGGCTAACCCCCTTCCATGTCCGCTTGCATCTCTCAACCTCACTCTCACTCCTTCCTATAAACGCAATTAAGTCTCTAATTATAAAAACTCCCATGGCACTGTGATGCCCCTCCTTCCTCTAATTTACGGAAAGCACTCTTGCTAAGGTCATGCTGCCTCAAGGAGCCTCTTGAGCTGGGTCCGCTGCTTCTCCTAGTCCTCTCCTGCCTGCCTCCC